AAAAACCCTCAGTGGAGGAAGGCCGGCTTTTTCAAGACCAGGGCCTGGAGCACATGGCGTCGTGAAATACGGAGCCTCGGCGTGTGGCTCGCCCTTACACAGGACCAACTCAGCATGGGCTGCAGGTGCAAATGTGAAACTCTAACGCTCTTAGGAAAGAAGCATGGGGAACCGTGAGATCCGAGGTGCTTGGACTGGACACAGAGACCAGCCCACGGGAGGGAAATCTGATCAACAGAACTGGATTAAAATGGAAGACACTTGCCCTGAGAATGGTGGGAGTGGCAAATTACAAAGCCAAGTGTGTGTGCCCAAAACCCGGGCGGAGAACGGAGGGCATGGCCACCCCCGGGGAGAGAGTTCTCACTGTCTCTGTCTAGCAAATGCACGCACCCTATGGCACAAAGTACACAAATTAAAAAAAAATAAGAAAGGTGTAACTAAATGCAGAGTATCCGCGACTCAAATGCAGGCGAGGTTGTGGAGCGATGAGCTCGCTCATAAAACGCTGCCGTCACGATGGAAAACAGCTGGACAGTTCCTCTTTTTTCTTTCTTTTTCTTCCCGACTGAGCATACAAACCACCATATGACCAGCAATCACACTTCTGGGCATTTCCCCAGAGCAGTGAAAACTTACGTTCACACGAAAGCCACATACAAATATGTATAGGCGATTTATCCCTCAGGACCCCCACATGAAAACAGCCCGGATGCCTGTGAACGGGCAGTGTCAGGCAGAGGTGGGTTCCGCAGGGCAGCGCTCGGCCCTGAGAAGCCAGCGACGAAGCACAGAGCATGCCCACGTGCACCTGGACGTCCCGGAGAGCCAGGCTGAGTGGAAAAAGCCAGTCCCCGAAGGCTGCATGCCGTATGAGCTATTTCTGTAACACTCTTCTCTTTTCCGTTAAGTCATTTTTATGCCAGGGGCACATGTATCCCGAGTGTTCCAGGGCCTGGTCATGCCACAGCCCCCTCCTTTCCTTCAAGCCTTCAGGGCCCTGGGTATGCGGGTGCCTCGCGTGTTTTTCAGCCACTGGGGCTGGGGTTCAAACCGCAGTGGCCACCGTTCGCAGGGCTGAAGATGTCTAAGTGACCTCCAGGTTCACCAGATCAGGGCGATTTCCCAGCAGTTGGGGCAGCCTGAGGACCTCACGCCCCCCCAAGGCTTGGCCCCAGGGGCTCAGTAGCACCAGCAGGCCTAGCGGGTGGGTGGCCCACAGCTCCTGAGGTCCCCTTGGTTCTTGCCTGCCCATCCTCTCTGAGCAGGAAGAAGCGGTGTGGGACAATTGGGCCTCCCTGGCTGTCAGGCGGCCCAACAGTGAGGGCCCAGCCCCAGACTCGCAAGCTCTGGGCAGAACGAGGCTGCCAGCTCCTTCCTCCTTTCGCCCTCCCTGCCCTTCTGCCGGACCACATGGGTTGACCCTGGGACCGGGAAGTGCTGTTGCCACCCTGCACTGGTTAGAGTACCCCTGACCTGTGCCCCTGGGCTGCTTGGGTCTGGAACAATAATGCAACTTCACACTTAGGTGCCAGCCAGGGTCCCCAAGCTCCGTGTTAAAGATCTGGCTGTGACATTTACCATAACGGGCTCCTGGCAAGGGCTGCTGCCGGCTTGGGCCCTCCTGACCAGAATAGCTCCCTTATCGGACCGTCGAGGTGGCAGGGACTAGACAAGCTGTGGGGCGTGGGGGCAGCAGGGTGTCGGGCGGCGAGCTGTCTGCTCCGCTTTAAAATCATTTCAGAGAAAGCCGCTCCCGAGACTTGCTGAGACGTGCACTTGGGTACTGGGTACTGTTCCGGCGCCGCCCTCCTGTCTGCGCTCGATTTTCCTTTAGAAAAACCAGAACAATCCATCCAGGAACGACCGCTGTCTCACTAGGCAGCGATCAGGTGGTCTCTTAGAAACGCCTGAGGCCTGTCTCTACCCCGTCCACAGCAGGATTTCTGTCTCCAAGGGCCTCGCGCCACCACTCCCAGGGGTCCCGGGGCCCCTGCTTCTCTCCACCGCCCTTACACCCCCAGCCTGAGTGTCCGATCAACCTTGACTCAAAAAGGCAAGCTTCTGCTCACCTTCCCCTAAGCGGAAAGCAACCCCTGCTTGAATGATCCCATTTCAAGATTTGCAAAAAATGACAGTTCCTGCCACGTGCTGGATGACCAGCTGGGCTGCTGATGCAGATGCACGGCCAGGTGGCGAGGCCCCCACACAGGGTCGTTTGAAGAGCACTGGGGACTGCGGGGTGGGTCCTCAACGCGTCTCTTCTCTAGGACTGAGCTACCCCGATCACAGTGACTAGGACAGCCCAGTCCTGGAGAAGAAACCCAGGCAGGCGCTGGCAGGAAGCCCAGGAGGACCTGCTGTGCAGCCCGCACCAGAAGTAGCGAGGCTGAGTGGACCGTCTGACAGCCGCGTTGAGGTCTCTGCTGGGCCACGGGGGACATGCTGGTTCTGCCTCACCAGGCCCAGGATGGGCCACGGACTCTGGGGGCCCAGTGAGATCTAACTCCATCCCAGAGAAGGCAGCTCAGCTTTGCAGCAGCCCTGGGCAGGGTGCTCCCTCCCTCTCTGCCCAGCCTGTCCACCCCAGCTGGGCAGCTCTGAGCATGGAGCACAGGCCTGTCTCCCAACACAGGCGCCTTAAACGGGAAACGCCGCCTCTGAGCAGCGCCGCAGCTGACGGCAGCGTAGCATTCGAGGAGTCGGGGCTGTCTGTGCCTCGTGGCTGGCCCCTTCTCGTGGACTGCCAGGAAGCAAGTCTGGAACCTTCTTCCTGGGGTCACTGTGCCGGGCGGAAGGTAACGCCCAGTGTCCGTGATGTCCCCTCCCTTTCAATGGCCCGGAACCTGTTCCTCGAGACACACACACCCTGCACCCTAAGACTCCCTGAGGGCCACGTCTGCACCCCGAAGAATGATGCAACTCAGATGGAGCCCTAGTTTGAAGTCTCAGCAAGCGGAGCAATTTCTCAGTCAGAGTCCAGCCCAGGACTGCCTGGCGCCCATGTTGTCACCCGCTCCTTCTCCTGTCAGGGTCTGGGAAGCCCGAGGTCCTCTCAGCAGCCGATGGGATTTACACCTGGGTTTGAGGGCAGGCATGGACCCCACAAGGCCAGAACACCCTTCAGGGCTACGATTTGGGAGGAGCAAGACCCAGAGGACAGCTTGGAGTTCTGAGCGCCTCAGCGTAGCCCATGAACAGGCCCCAGCCTGCCTTGCAGGGCAGGGCAGGACGGTGCGTGTGAGCACGCCGAGCGCTGTGCCCACTCCCCTTCTCCCACGGGGGCTGCGCCGTGAGCAGGATGCCCTGTCATGTGACCTCGTGATGAAACAGTCCAGCTGGGAGTCAGGCCCAGACCGGCCTCACAGCCACACACCCCTCTGCCTGCTGGGGCTCACCTGTAGAGGGTGGCGATCGCCGCTTCGTTAGAAGGATGGAAGAGAGGGAACCAGCAGTTGGTGTAATGGCTATGTCGCTGGACTCCCACGTAGTCGACCGCGGTTCGCGTCCCGAACCCCGTGGGTTAAAAACGCCGCC